ACATTACAGTACACCACATACTACACCGGACACCGCAACATGGTATACCACACCTCACCTCACCTCACCACAGTATACCACACCACACCACCCCTTACCATACCACACACACCTTACCATACACCACACAACATCACACCTCACCACAATATACCACACCACACCATACCTCACCACACCACACACCACACCACAGTATACCACAGCACATACCACACCACACCGCAGCATACCACACCAGCCTGCCCCACACCACACCACACTAAGTTGATGTGCTCTTGAGCTGGAACCCTGACCTCCAGTGGGTTTTCAGAGGCTGTAAATCACACGGAAGGAGACTGCCCATCTTTCTCCTTCAGAGAAGCTGATGGCTTTGAACCGCATGCCCTTGGGTTGGCAGCACGGCTCCTTCTGCTGGGCCACCGTGCATGACACTGTATTACAGTCACCTGCGTACAGTGTCCTCCTCCCTGGCACTGTAGGGCACCCTAGTCCATGGCTCTGCCCTACACTACAGTACTGTAAACTGCACCCCACTCCCTTCAGTCTAGGACACGCCACACCACTCTGTATCCCACCACACTGGGCTGTGGACACATGTGGACACTTCCTGCATGCACCTGTGGAGGCAGGATGCTGATGGCCACCTCTGCAGGGAGGGGACTGCAGGCAGGGACATCGCCACAGAGGAGACAGCCTTTGGTCCCTCCAGCTGCCCACCCTCACAGGAGGCATGGCCCCTCCCCTCACTGGGATGCAGGACCTCCTAGTCCTCTCTCTGGCCTGTTGGCTTAGGTGAAGACCTTTCTTCACGTCCTCGCCAGATGAGAAAATGGGGTTCCCAATGTCCCATCCTCCTTTGCTCCACTTTGGGGAGAAAGCATACCATGGTTCTGTTTGTCCATACCAAACCCTGGACCTGGCTGAGGGGAAAAGAGCAGCCTCCGTGGGTCTCATCTCTTTGTTGGCCTCTGACCCTCTCCCAGAGCGTGGGTGGTTGTTGTGTACCATCATGTCAGAACTGACCCATAGCTGACCCTCCTGTGGGTTTTTAGAGGCGGTTAATCACACAGGAGGAGACTGCCCATCCTCCTCCCGCAGACCAGCTGATGGATTCGAACTGTGTGCCTTTGGGATTGCAGCTTCTTGCCACTCAGCCACCAGCGCTTCCTTGTTGACCGCTCAGACGTTCTCCACAGAGCTTCTCTTTAGCCTGGGACTCTGCTTCTGAAACGCAGACACCAGGGCCTAGGCTAGTGTGCACTGCTGTTTGCGGGCACACCTTCCTGTGGCTGCTGTGAAGACACGGTTCATGCAAATTTGGTGGAAAACAGTGCTCAGTAAAGGTCTCAAAAATAGCACCTGCCCCATGGGTGTGAAAGGTGGACCAACTTTAAAGGCACAAAGTTCGCCATTCCCCCTTGGGGTGTCCAGAGTCACACTCTGGCGTCTCTGTCACCTCTGTGCTGACTCTAGACGTGGAGCCTGGACCGAGTGGGCTCGCGGGGATGCTGATTTTGCTGCCCAGCAGCGGGGAGTTGGGGGAGTTGAAGGCGCTGTGGCCTGTTGGTGAGGAGTGAGTGACAGTCGAGCCAGGGCATTTGACAGGCTTCCTCCAGATAAGGGTCTGGCGTTGAGTGATCGCAGGGAGTTTCCTCTGCCAGTTTGGTGACACCATCTCAGGCCAGAGGAGAGTGAGCCCTTGTCACTGAGATGATGATGACAGATACGGCCTGCTCTAATCGCTGTAACTGAGTTAGCAAAGCTGTGGGCACACGAGTGCCTGCTTTATCGTCGGCTGGCCAGAGAGGACCCAGGTGACGCTCTATAAAACCCTACGCTCTGGTGCCCGGCAGTCGGTGTTGGCAGGGAAGGTGTTCTGACGCCCTTCGTAGCATCTGTGTCTCCACATTGAGAGAGTATTACAGCTGAGTGAGGGTTTCTGCTGTCACGTCTAACGACCGTGGCGTATGACTGCACACTAGCTGGGGCTCAGGAGATTGCCACAAACGCACGGTGAAGAGGTCACTGAGCTTTGCCTGCTGCCCCGTCGTCTTCTGACTTAGTCATCACCGTGAGTGTCAGGGTGAACTCTTTTTTGTACATAACAGTCCGGCGTGTCACTGAAGAGCGCTGTTGTTAAGTACCATCAAGTGGCTGTGACTCATAGTGTCCTGTCCTGCTCTGTCCTCACACACTCTGCTGTGTGTGAAGCCACAGGGCTGAACTCTGGCCTGGCCTGGCCCACTCTGTCCTCATACTCTCCACCGTGTGTGAAGCCCAGGGCTGAATGCTGGCCTGGCCTGTCCTGTGTCCTGCCCTGTCCCGTCCTGCCCTGCTCCGTCCTCACACTCTGCACCGTGTGTGAATCCATGCTTACAGTCTTGATGTCTTTTTCCAAAGACTGATTCTTCCCGACTTTTAAACCAACTTCTTACAGAACTGTCTTTATATAGAATAGATATATTCTGAAGTGAGCATGTGTCCGGAAATGGCCTCGTTAAGGAGGGGCCTGCTAGGTTGGTTGGTCAAGAAATCTTTGAAGAAAATATGAGCGCACCCACTAGGGAGAAGGAAGCAAATGCTCCCCCTTTCTGAACACCCGTTGTGTCCAGTGCCTCCTGAAAATGACCACACTTGAGCCTGCTCGAGAGGGGCTGGGCCCCCCTGGTTCTTTCTCGGCCCGCTGACTGGTTCTTTGTGGAACAGGCTGTTGCTGGCTTCTTCTAGAGGCGGGAAGAGTTCACAATAGGAAAACCACGGCGAATGCCAAAAATGAATATGTTAAAGGACCCAAGCTTTGCCTTGTGAAGCATCTGAGAACCGTTAACACAGCTTCTCATCAGAGTAAAAAGCCTGTCAAGGCAACCTCCGCCCTCTTCCCTAATGTTAGGTGGGGTAGGATGTGTTGAGTGCTGCTTAGAACATGGAGACACTGGGTCTGAACCTTCAGTACAAACGGTCCAGGCTAGACTTTAATGCTTCTCTCACACTGGTGAGCACCGATGGGTGGCTGGAGACTGCAGTGCGTGTACATGTCGCCTCAGAGCTCCTGGGCCTGGCACCTGGAGGGAGAAGATGCTGCAGCCCGAGCTGGCCTAACACGGGGATTCCCCCCCTGGGGTCCAGTGTGGGGAGCCCCTAACACGGGGACAGGCAGAGGGAGAGGCCCGGGGACTCCCCCACCCCCGGGGTCCAGCGTGCAGGGTGGGAGGGACCCTAACACGGGGACAGGCAGAGGGAGAGGCCTGGGGACTCCCCCCCTGGGGTCCAGTGTGGGGAGCCCCTAACACAGAGAGGCAGGCAGAGGGAGAGGCTTGGGGTCTCCCCCGGGGTCCAGCATGCGGAGGGACCCTAACACAGGGAGGGAGGCAGAGGGAGAGGCCCGGGGTCTCCCCCCGCCCCGGGGTCCAGCATGTTTCCTAGAGGAGACGGCACGCATGATGAATTGATTTATGGTGTTTAATGACTTCTGATGGCAGCTCTCTCGCTCTCTCTTTCTCTGCATACATTATACTCACAAGAGCTCTGGTGGCCTAATGGCAACAAGCTGTGCTACAATCCCGAAAGCACACGGTTCAAGGCTACCAGCCGCTCTGTGGGAGCAGGATGGGCAGTCTCCTCCCATGCAATTAACCACCTTGGAAAACCCACCAGAGGGTCAGCTGTGGGTCAGCTCTGACTCGATGGTACCCAGCAACTCACTCATAAGAGCATTAGTGCCCTAGTGGATAAGGAGTTGCACTGCCAACCCAAAGGCAGGTGGTTCAAATCCACCAGCTGCCCTGAGGGAGCAGGCCGAGCCTCTGAGGACCTGTGTGAGGGTCAGCTGGGAGTCACGTCCACGGGGTGGTGATGGCTTGTTGAGCTGATCCTCATAATACATGTCCAGAGGGACTGTCTCCAAAGTGGGATGAGAATTTAGCCGTCTGGATCTAAAATGCTGGATATTTGTATCTTTAATCAACCTTTTAGAGTTTCTTGGATAATTATGACAGCTTGATTTATTTTTTTTAAGCTTGATTTATTTTTAACGTTGTCAATCATTATGAAGTATTTTGAGTGTACATTCAGTTGAGTTTTTTGTTTTCCCAGCAAAGGTAACTCTCTCCCGCTCATTCTCTCTCAGTTATGGTAAGTCCCAGGTGAACACCACAAGGCCAGGTGACACGTGGCAGTTTGAGAGTAAACACGCGCACGCGCGCGCGCACACACACACACACACACACACACACACACACACACACTCCCCGATAGTGTAGTGCACAACGTCCTGAGCTGCTGACTGAAAGGCTGGAGTTTTAACTCACAAGCCGTCAGAAGAACAACTTGCAGTCTCCTTAATATTTATAGCCTTAGACGTGTAGACACATATGCACAGTTCATGCATGGCAAATTTCTGTTGTTGTGAACCATCAGGTCAGAACTGACTCACAATGTCCCTCTGTGGGTGTCAGAGGCCGTGACTCACAGGAAGAGACGGCCCATCTTTCTCCCTCAGAGCAGCTTGATTTGAACTGCAGACCTTTAGATTTGCAGCTCAGCACCTTATCCCTGCATCACCAGAGCTAGCTCGTTCTCTCTCTCTCTCTCTCTCTCTCTCACACACACACACACCCCCCTATGTATATATTTATTTATATACAGACAGACAGCAAAGGGTGGAGAAAGGGTAGTGTACAGTGAACGGGGACAGGAAGGAAGGGAGAGATGGGTAACAGAGACCAGGGTGAGGAGACCCTAAGAGAGAGACAGAACAAGGAAGTGTAAGGGGAGGGACGGAGAACGCGGGAGACAGAAGCATCCAGAAGGACCCCGAGGCCCGTGTGGCCTGAGCTGAGCCCCTGCTCCTCTCCTGGTCACACTTTGGGATCAGGACAGAGGCCAGCCCAGGGACACAGGGGGACACAGGTCCCAGCAAGCAGTCCCCGCTGCTCCCCCACAAGCCCCTCTGTGGCCTGCAGCCTCTCAGTGTCTCCTCTCATGTCCCCTGGCTGCAGGAAGGTCCTGAAGGCAATCTCCGTGGGTGAGCTGCATCCAAACGAGAGTGTGCAGGCCAGCATGGAGGCCCAGCTCCTCGCCCGGCTGGACCACCCGGCCATCGTCAAGTTCCACGCCAGCTTTGTGGAGCGGGACAGCTTCTGCATCGTCACTGAATACTGTGAGGTGAGACGCCTCTCACGCCCCGTCAACCCAGACATGGCCAATCCAACCCAGATGTGGGAAACAGCCCACATTTCATGATCTAGACCCAGTGGAGCCTGGGAACCGAGGGCCTCATGTACCAACTGGCTGGGAACGACCCTCTCTTCTCCTGAGGTGCCTGATGTGGGGTACCACCCGGCTCGGGGCACCGTCCCTCTGTGTGGTGCTGCTAACCAGGTCACACCCTGCCTCGTGGAGGGGCTGCTGCTGCCTCCTCCTCCCCCTCCTCTTGTCTGCCGTTCACTGAGGACCGACCCCAGCTGACCCCCAGCAACTCTCAGAGGCTGTAAATTGCACGGGAGCCCTTTTCCCTCTGAACAGCTGGGGCATTGGCCTCTGGCCTGGAAGTGTTACTCCTTACCGCCACCAGCCCTTCCTGAGAGGAGGGCCTTAGAAACTGGGGAACCTGATAGAGGCTCCCCAGGAATCAGAATCAGAATCTACCTGAGGAAAGTGGCTGTACTGTGACTGACAAAGTGAGTTCTAATAATTCTCCCACACGCTGCACGTCAAACTCAGCCCCAGCGAAGCTGTCCTTTGGAGATGGTGCTGAACTTCAGTCTGGCGTTGGGGTTTCGTCTGGATTTGTCTGAGTGGGGTGCTGAGGTGAGCACTCACTCGATGCCGTGTGAGGTGGGGCTGCAGCGTGGCCGCGGTGGGCCCGGCTCTGGCCCTGCGGCTCCCTTCCCAGCGGACGGGGGAGGCCTGTGTGGTTATGGATTGGTAGATTTGTAGCTCAGTAATGGCTACACATGAGCCCCAGTGAGAGGACGGTGCTTGGAGGAGAGAGGGGACTTGACATTCACAGCTGGGGTGTGGGCCTCTGTGTCCCCTCCTGGGAAGCTTGGCTGGCACAAGGGACAGGGCTGGCCCAGGCAGAGAACCCCTAAAAGTTCCCTGGCTTGGAAAGTACCTCCCCAGTGATTCTGGGAACACACAGTGTACCTTCAGAAAAGTTCCTGTTGTACAAACATAGAATTAATTATGTCAGCACGTCACCTGACAGGGGTGCTGGGGCCCAAAAAGAGAACACTGGGGAGAAAGAGGGTGTCTTAGAGCAAGGGCAGGCTTGCTGGGGTGAGGGCAGGCCTGCTGGGGTTGGAGGCTTCAGACAGCTGGGGGCAGCCCATGTGCGGGGATTGGAGGAGCCCAAAGACGAGGCAGCAGACACTCACCTGGCCCCCTTCACAGGTGAGCTGGACGTGTTGCCCCAAAGCCAAGCCAAGCCAAGCCAGGTGAAATCTCCCAGGGACTTTGCAGTGGGCCAGGTTTCTGCTCCCCTTCGGGCCTGCCTCTGCTCCGGGATGACCTCCCCTTCGGGCTGGCCTCCCTGTCAGCTGTGCATCATGTCCATCTCTGCCCGAGGACAGCAGGACAGAGGGTGGAGGTGAAGAGACAAAGTCCAGGCGATTTGGGTGTGTGCCTGTCTGCACCCCGCGGAGTGCTAAGGAATTGGTGAAGTGACAGGGTGTGCAAAGACAGGCCGCGGACCATCTCCTCTCCTAATGATCGGCGAAGGGGCTGTGCCCCTAACCAGCTAGGTGGTTGGCTTTGCGTGGCTTCCCTTTCGACAGCGTGTGTTTGGGTTGGCACAGTCTCTGCAGAAGGACAGCTGTTTGTAGCTGCAGCTGCGGGCCTTCTTACCCCTCCAGCCCCTTCCATTAGCAAGTTCCTTTTGGAAGCAGCTGCCTCGTCCTGCTGTGCGCCTGCCACTTTGACTGCTGTTTTCAGCACGTGGCATTTTCCAGAGACTGTCCAGTAATGCTGCCTGTGGTCCTGAAATCCTCTGTCTGTGCGGATCACACATGACTTCTGAGCACCTAAGAGGTGGTTCATGAGACTGAGGGGGAGCTCTGGTGGCCTGGTGGGGAAGGAGCTGAGCTCCCAACCCAAAGGTGTGCGGTTCAGATCCACCGGCCACTCCGAGGAAGGAACATAGCAGTCTCTTTCCATCTGATTTAGAGGCTGGAAACCCACTGGAGGGTCAGCGCTGAGTCAGTTCTCAGTGGACAACATGTAACACGTGCGTGTGACTGAGAAGTGGAGAATGACATGTCGTTAAAATTTAAATAACCATGCGTGGCTAGCAGCTTTCCTCCCGGACAGCCCAAGTCCAGATGATAATTTCTAACTATTGCAATAGCTGTGAGGTTGTTTTGTTTACTTATTTTAAGATAATTGTAAGGTACCAACTAACACACCTGTACACCCTTCATCTGTATTTCCCAGTGAGTAACTTTCTGCTGCATTTTCTTGATCTGTCCTGGTTCACTCTCTGTCTACTTGTCTATCTGTCATGTATTTCTCCCCCTGTTAGAAAAGGAGTTGAGGGTGAAAGAGAGAAAGAAAGAAACTGGTTCCAAGAAATCGATAGGCCTTTATTGCACGGTCTGAGAGGGACGCCAAGTGACCAGGAGTGGAGAAAGTCAGAATGGCATGTGCACAATTAGGGGTGGTCTCTTTTTCTTAGAGGTCTTGGGGAGGGCTAGGGAAGATGGTACCTCTTGGAGTTTGGGGCTGTTAATTAACTCAGGTTGGAGCTTTCTGATCAGGCCCAGGGCCTTATCATGATTTATCGCTTGGTCTGCTCTTTGTCCTGGCTGCCCTTGACACCATCAGGTTTCTTACCGAGTGACTAGGTGTGGGGTCAACTGCTGTATTTTCTGTCCACCCCCAAACTCTTTGAGGTTAAGAGGCAGGCATGGTGTCCTGTGGCTTGTAAAGATGCCATTGGATGGTTAACGGGAGCCAGGGTCCTCTCTCTCTCATCACCACAGCACAGCACACGTGGTCCCTCAGTGCTGCTGCAGGGTAGACCAGCATCGCCAAGTGGCATCCTGGGCAGTAGCATCCACATCCGAGTCGGTGTTCCAGGGGACTCGCCAGAAATGCACGTCTGAATTCTGGGATGGGGCACAGCAGTCGGGGTTTGGACAAGCACCCCTCAGAGAATCCTGCTCCGTGAGACTTGACATCCACTCCCCTCAAAACCCACTGCCACACACCTTCCCTGTTGTCCCACTAACATCCTCGGAAAAGGTATTCCTGTAAGAATGCTTTTCCTTTTTTGGCTGAGAGAGGATCTAATCCAGGGTCAGCTGCCCTGATTTTAAGTGATGGGAGGTTCCCAGGGGCTGGGCAGCTCTCCTCTCCAGGCAGGGAGCGTTGCCATGGTGATGAGGACCATCTCCAGGCCTGGGCAGAGCTGAGGCCTCCAGGCTCCCCGGGCAGAGCTCTCAGCCTGCGGGGTGTGCAGCTCACTCATCTTCAGACCCACATTTACTCCTACCTCGCATAGGCCTGCCATTATCCCCCTTTATTAAAGTCAGATAATAAGACTGAAGCTGTAGATGGCCCAACATGCACCTTACAGAGATGCCGTCACCACGGAAACGCCCGGGCTGGGTTTGCCTCCAGCTTCCCGTTTCTGTCACTGAATTTGGGGCTTTACAGGATTGATGTTGGAATGCTTCCTGGGGCCTCTGTGGTCATGACTCTATCACTTCACATCAGGTTTTGAACGTGTGAAAGCAAACCCCCAAACTGCCTGTGCTGCTTCATTCCTGACGGGAAATTCCCGCTGAAGTGACTGCATGTTTCACATGTGGAGATCTTCTCGTCTGCACCAAAGAGACCGAATTGCTTGCCGCTGTCCATCCATCAACCACATTTCGTACCTTGTTGTCTTTGTGGGGTTGGTGGTAAGGAGTGGCGCTGTCAACCCAAAAGCAGGTGGTTTGAATCCAGCAGCTGCTCCGTGGGAGAAAGATGAACATTGTCTTCCTGTGCAGTCTGTTGTCATTGCTGTGTGCTGTTGAGTTGTCTACAACTCATAGCAACCTTATATGCAGTAGCTCTGAACTCTGCCTGTCCTGATCCAGTCTCACTGTCTCTGACACACCTGACCCCATGACCTCAGTTACTATGTCAGCCAATCTCATCAAGGTCTTCCTCTCCTGAGCTGTCACTCCACCCTTCTAAGCATGATGTCCTTTTCCAAGGACTAGCCCCTCCTGGCAAGATGCCCAAAGTATGTGAGATGGAGCTTCAAAATCCTATCCTCCAAAGAGAAACTTTGTTTCGCCCTCTCCATGACGGACATGATTGTTCTCTTGTATGTTCAGTGCTCTTCTCCAGCACCACGACTCAAAAAGCATCAGTTCTTCTGTCATCCTTATTCATTGTCCTTCTCTGTGATGCATAGTAACTCATTGTGAAGACTGTGGCCTGGAACAGGTGCACCTCTAGACTGACATCTTTGTCCTCTAGCACTCTGGAGAGGTCCCTGACAGCAGAATTTCCTAATCTGACTCATCTTTTGATTTCCTGACTGCTGAGCTAAGATTGTTGATTGTTAACAATCTCAGTCTCTTCTCCATCTATCATGGTGCTATCAGTTGGCCCAGTGGTGAGAATCTTTGTTTTCTTGATGTTGAACTTCAATTTAAAGTGAAGGCTGCAGACCTTGGCTTTCTGCAGCAAGCGTTTCAGGTCCTCCTCAGTGTCAGCCAGTAAGGTTATGTCATGTGCATAACACAAATTGTTGATGAGTCATCCTCCTATTCTAATGCCATATTCCTCATAAAGATCAGCCTTCCAAAGGATCTGTTCTTCATGTAGATTATTAAAGAAATATGGAGAAAGGACACATCCCTGACACTCTGACCCATCCCTTTCCTGATTTTGAACCATGCACTGTATCATTGCTTCCTGATCCAAGTATAGGTTTCTCATTAGCACAATCGGGTGTTCTAAGATTCCCATTCTTCTAAGGTTAGCAACAATTTGCTGTGATCCATACAGTCAAATGCCTTTGCATAATCAACGAAACACATATAGATATTCTTCTGGTATCCTCTGCTTTCAGCCAAGATCATCTGACATTGGCAGTGATGTCCCCAGTGCCGTGGCCTCTTTTAAACCCAGGTGTACTTCTGCTATTTCTCTGCTGATGTTCTGTT